AAGAGGTGAGAATAAAGTAGATTCTACTACTAAGACAATAAAAGAGTATTAAGTAAAAAGTACCGAGAGGGAAAAAGAGTAAATAGAATAATAGAGAGATCGCAAGGGTGAAATACAAGACATTAGACGGTTGTAGTCACGAGTAGTGGAACATGTCGTTTAATTGGATATATTAGCGTAGTAATTTATAAATAAATTGAGTAAATCAATCTTAAGTTAATGTATATAGGCCCGAAAGCAGGAACTTTTGTACGTTTCTTGCTATCATATACATTAATAAAATATATAATAAAATGTCGTAGCGTGAATTCTCGTCGTCGCATGGTTTTCCAAAAGGTTTGAAATGTCTCTGCAATCTCCCCCTATAAGATGTCGCTAAAAGGGTATATATAGGATCATGAGTATGCGTGCCTGAGAAATTCCTGCGTCGCAGGGTTTAGATCAAAATATTTCCAACCCTCGCTATTGTAACTATTATTGTTGCAGACATTCTATAAAGTATCGGAAGATATGTCTCTAGTGTTAATTTCTTACTTTCTCCCCCCTCTTCTCTCTCTCTTTTTCTCATTATGTCGATTTGCGGGGTATAATTTTCTACGGTGTCTTTTCCAAGCTGGGAGTTCCATGATTGTGGACTATATGTACTGGGCTTTTGAAATCTCACCCATACTGCAAGGTGTAAACTTGGATTGCCATAATCACACCATATCTCTCACCAAGAAAACACATCACAGATTCAATTCGACATCTCCGGGTTATGGAAACTGTTTCATCATAGAATCAAATTCATATAGTGGCATTCAATTAGTAGAAAAAAATTATTGTCTTTATTCACCCGTGATTTTTCTGTATACTTAAGATGGAATTGTTCACTTTCGTAGACACATTTGAAATTTACGGTTCTGGAAGCTTTGTGGATAATAGAGAGAAAGAAGAAGCAAAAAGTTTCAGAAATCATTTTGGAAGGTATTAGGAAGCTTTTGATTGGAAAGGGAATTGTAATCAGTATCAGGGGAGGTAGTCTCATTGGACCAAATGCTTAGGCAAGGCGACATTGCACCATTTTTTCTCAACAATTGCTTTTTCTTATTTAATCTTTTATTAATTTTAATTTAAGGAGATTAAGGGAAAAAATGCTGAGACATTAATACTGCATACTAAATGATCCATATTTTGATGAAAACGTGGTACAATAATCGTAAACGATGATGTACCTTAAATACTTTTGATTCAATCATAATCCATGTAACTTATAGATGATTAATACCATGTAGCAGATGATCTTACTCAAATTAAATGTATCTAGTTGTAAAGTACGTATTTACGCCCTCATTGTCCTTTGCTGGCTGTACATGCTTATAAATTATTTTTGTGTTGATGGACTGTGTACAATATTATGTATCGGATATATAACAGTTTTTTCGAGAAAAAACTGTTTCTGGTTTTCTTTGGTCATCAGATATGGCACCAACGTATCTCCCTTTCGAAGAACCAGGTGCTATAACGTTACTTATATATTCTTCATTTTTGCTTTTTCTTAATGGTTTGAATTACATTCTTAATACATTTGTNTTTTGTGGACTAGTTGGGCAGATTCTTCTAGGTGTTTGCTATGGAGTACCTGGTACAAATTGGCTCAGTAAACATTCCCAAGAAACTTTTATGGAATTGGGGTACATTGGATTACTCTTGATGGTATACGAAGGAGGATTGTCTACTTCTTTCAACGATTTGAAAGCCAATTTTCATATAGCACTCTTGGTTGCTTTCACTGGTGTTAGTCTTCCTATTGCACTTAGTTTTTCAATATTAGGCTATTCCAATGCTACACCAGTAGCTGCGTTTGCAGCTGGTGCTGCGCTAAGTTCCACTAGTTTGGGTGCATCTTTTACTATCTTATTAACATCTGGGTTCAAGCAAAGTAGAGTCGGCATTATATTGACTAGTGCTGCTGTACTAGATGACATTTTTGGATTAGTAATGATCAAAATAATTTCTAATTTAGGTAATGGATCATTTAATGCAATCAGCGTTATACGTCCCGTATTTGTTTCAATAGCGCTTATAGTTATAGTTGGGGTAGTTGTTAAATTTTTTGTGCTTCCGTTTGCATTATGGTTTAGAAAACAAAAAAGAACATTTCCAAGAATCTTGAGAATATTATTAATGACAAAAAAGTATTATTTTGTGTTACATACTATTGCACTAATTGGTCTAATTACTGGAGCAACATATGCTGGAGCGTCAAATTTAACGGCTGCATATG